TTGGCCCAAGAGCAAGGCTGGAGCGGGACTAGGAACAGGGTGGGCCTGGGCCCAAGAGCAAGGCTGGAGCGGGACTAGGAACAGGGTGGGCCTGGGCCCAGGAGCAGGGGGCTCTGTTGTCACTGTCAGGCAGGAGAGAGTTCCAAGCCCTGGCATCACACTGAGCTGCTGCTCCTCCCGTGGGGCTTATATACCTGCCCTGGGAGTCACAGCCCAGCCCCTGGCTGGGGGCTGGCTGGCGCCTGGCACAGGAGTGACTCCTCACCTCACATGTGCTCTCGGGGCAGGCTGAGGCCTGGGTTTGAATGGTGCCCAGTTGTCTGAGCCGGGAGAGGTCACTGGAAAGGACTGGCCCAGCCGACCCCACAGCAGTGAACGATGGCAAAGCCTGCAGCAGGACATTGGCACCCGGCACCCAAGGCCTAGGGGGAGAGGGGTTTCCCCACCTCTCTGCAGGGAGGCTCATAAGCAAAGTAAGCTGTCATGGGATAAGAGGGAAAGTCCTCTCCTGGATCGGTAACTGGTTAAAAGACAGGAAACAAAGGGTAGAAATAAATGGTCCATTTTCAGAATGGAGAGAGGTAAATAGTGGTGTCCCCCAGGGGTCTGTACTGGGCCCAGTGCTGTTCTACATATTCATAACTGATCTGGGAAAAGGGGTAAACAGTGAGGTGGAAAAGTCTGCAGATGATACAAAACTACTCAAGATAGATAAGTCCCAGGCAGACTGCGAAGAGCTACAAAGGGATCTCAGAAAACCGGGTGCCTGGGCTGTTAGTGATGGTAATAGAGTATTTAGGACTGCAAATTTGCCTGAGATAGAATTCTGGGTTTTGTTTGTCCATTTGACTTACTAACAGGTGTGAACAAGGAACAAGGTCACTGGTGTTGCTTCTGCCCACAGCCAGATGGGGTTTTTAGTATAATGAGAAAAGATACGGAATAGAGCTGAAGTGTCGCTGGGTCTGGTGTACAACTCCCCTCCCAAGCCAAGGTCAAGGAAACTGTCAGGAGGGGCAAAGGGAGCTGAGGAGGGGAGGCATAAGAAAAGCCAAGGCCTCACTCCCTACCCTTCCCTTGGGGTACAAGAGAGGTGGTACCGAAGCCCCCAGACTCTCAACCCTCCAAGTGGAACATGGCCATAAATGGTAAAGGTGGTGCCTGGGGCGTGCACTATAGGCATAACTGACCTGTTAATGAAGAGGAGGGGGACAGGGATAAGCTCTGCTGGTGTACAGAGCTGTGGATTATGCTTGTTTGGTAACCCCAATAAACATGGCATTGCCTGCACTTTGGACTCTGGCCTTCTGCTTTCTGTCTGGGTGACAAGAACCAAGGGAGGAGGAGGGGAAGCCCTAACATGGGCAGCAGAATGGCAGGTGAAATTCAATGGTGATAAATGCAAAGTAATGCACATTGGAAAACATCATCCCAACTCTACATACAAAGGTATGGGGTCTAAATTAGCTGTTACCACTCAGGAAAGAGATCCTGGAGTCAGTGTGGATAGTTCTCTGAAAACATCCACTCCATGTGCAGCGGTGTCAAAAAAGCGAACAGAATGTTGAGAATCATTGGGAAAGGGATAGATAAGAAGACAGAAAATATCACGTTGCCTTGAATACTGTGTGCAGAGCTGGTCACCCCATCCCAAAAAAGAGACATTAGAATTGGAAAACGTACATATGAAGAGAGATTAACAAAACTGGGACTTTTCATCTTAGAAAAGAGATAACTAAGGGAGGATATAATAGAGGTTTAAAACTCATGAATGATGTGGAGAACGTGAATAGGGAAGTGTCATTTACCCCTTCACATAACACAAGAACCAGGGGTCACCCAATAAAGCTAGAATCATAGAACCACAGGGTTAGAAGGGAACGCAACAGCCACCTAGTCTAACCCCCTGTGGAGATGCAGGATTTGTTGTTTCTAAACCAGCCACTAACAGGCAGCAGATTTAAAACAAACAAAAGGAAGTATTTCTTCACACAATGCACAGTCAACCTGTGGAGCTCCTTGCCAGAGGATATTGTGAAGGCCAAGACTATAACGGGGCTCAGAAAAGAACAAGAGAAGTTCCTGGACGACACACGTGGAGACAGGGCCTGGGTGCTGGCCTGGTGCCGCAGCTTCACCTGCAATGCCCATGAAGCGGTGGGAGAAGATGGAGAGCTGGATGGTGTCGAGCTGGGTGCTGATGGGGCCCTGCTTCTTGGAGCCCACGGCAATGCTGATGTTCCCATGGCGGGTGATGGAGGCCGTGCAGCCCGGCTCGATGAGGATGGTGCTGAGGGACGAGGCTGTGTTACTGCACACGCCCGTGGGAGGGTCCCCCAGGGCAGCACTTCCCATCACCCCCCAGGACATCCATCATCACCCACCTCCAGAACTCCCTGAAGCACCTGCACAGCCTCTCGCGCAGGAGGGACAGAGACTTCCCCAGCCACACAGCAAGTCAGAGGCTGGTCTGGGAACAGCACCCAGAAGCACTGACCACCGATCTCAGGCCCGCCCAGCTCTACCCTCTCGACACCGGGCACAGAACCCAGGCGTCCTGATGCCCAGCGCCCTGCTTTAACCACTGGCCCAGGTTCTCCCCCCAGCAATGGGAATAGAACCCAAGGGTCCAGGCTCCATCTACCCCCCTCCCACCTGTTCTTATCGATGATGATGCTGGGGCCAGGGATGGAGTGGTCCCAGGACAGATCCTCCAGCAGGTACACGTGGGTGTCCAGGTAGCCATCAGCGAAATAGCAGCGGGTCACCTGCCCAGGGAGAAGAGGGGATGCCCTGAGAGTGCCTGGGCCCAGGTTCCCCCAACCCCGCCCCGTTGTGCATCACTTAACAGGGAACCCCCTCCCCTGCGCCCCGGCATAATGGAGCCAGTGTCTCAGCAGTTCAGACCGATGGGCCACGCCAGGCAAGACCCAGGCACTAATCCTGCCCTGCCTCAGAGGAGCCATCTGGAGCCACAGGGCAGGGCTCAGCGCAGTCAGCCACGCCTGGGCCCCTGCACTCGGCGCCCCGCGGGCCTGTGCTGCCCGGGAGAGGTGCCCGTTGTGCTGCACCGCGTGCCCTGCCCCCGGGGCAGGGCTGTCTGGGAAGAGCTGAGCCCCCGGGATCTGCTCCAAGGCAGGGCATGGGGGAGGACCGGCAGATCACTGACTGGCGGGGGCATTGTGGGATTGCCCTGGGATAGGTGCTGCTCCATCCCAGAGCCCGCCTGTTCCTAGGCAGGGAGGGAGCAACCCCCTCTCCACAGCCCCAGGGCGGGAGGGGGCGCACATGGCGGGGTGGGAGAGTGCTGCTGCCTGCGTCTCACCGTCTCCACACGGGCGGGTCTGCCGCTGGCCGCGACTAGCTCGTCCTGGCCAGTCCTGGTGCTGCCAATGCCTCGCACACGCACGTCATCCACCACCACAGGGCGCCCAGGGATGGTGAAGCCAAACTCCTTCAGGTACCTGCAGGGTCCAGACACATGCTGCACCGGGGCTGCAGAGACGCCTAGCAGCCTAGCACATGGCTGGGAACAAACCCCACTGCACCCCTTGCGGGGAAACCTAGGGCGCTGGGGGCAAGACAGGGGTCCTCTGGGCCACAGGTGGGGCAGGGGCAGTGGCCTGGCAGCTACAAGGCAAGTCTCCAGCGAGCCCTGGGCAGGTGCTGCCCACTAACCCCTGGGCCCTCAGGATCGTGCCACGGTGCATGTCAGTCGTTCTGGGAGAAGCACTGGGCAGCAACTCCTCCCCCCAGTGCCTAGGCAGCCCCCGCCCCAGTTCTGCAGGGGGGAAGGAGGGGCCCAGGCCCCTGCGTGAGGCAAGGGACACCCACCTGCTGGAGAAGGCGGCACGGAAGTCCCCGGCCCGGCAGGAATCGGATGTGGCCGGGTGCCCCTTGGCCGAGCACATGAGGGCGCAGTCCGTGCGCTCGTAGCGCAGGTGCAGGAAGGGCTGTGTGCAGATCTGAGACCTGGGCGGAGAGGTGGGGGGTAGCTGGGGGGGGGGATCTACACAGAGAGCAGACCCACCTGCTGAGTGTTAGAGAGCCCATCCCCCCTGCCCCCCCGAGAGCCTGTCTGCCTCCCTGAGAGCCCCCTGCCCCCCCGAGAGCCCCCCTGTCCCCCCAAGAGCCTGTCTGCCCCCTGAGAGCCCCTCACCCCCCTGAGAGCCCATCCCCCTACCCCCCCCGAGAGCCTGTCCGCCCACCTGAGAGTCCATTGCCCTCCCGAGAGCCTGTCCGCCACCCTGAGAGCCCCCCTGCCCACCCCAGAGCCTGTCTGCCTCTCTGAGCCCCCCGCCCTCCGAGAGCCTGTCCGCCCCCCCGAAAGCCCGCCTGCCTGCTAAGTGCTAGAGAGCCCATCTGCCCCCTCAAAAGCCCATGGCCCCCCCCCAAGAGCCCGCCCTCCCGCCCTCCCCGCCCAGAGAAAGCGGTACGAGGTCCCTGGGCTGACGGTGACAGGCATCTCCTGGTCCCCGCACCCAGTGCTTCCTCCTCGGGGAGTCCAGCCTGCATGCAGCCCCCCACCCCCAAGCCCCATGCCCAGGTGGGCAGCCCTGGGCCTGTGGGGCGGGTACCTGGGGAAGCCCTGGGCCTGCAGGGCCCGCACACACTCTGTCTCCAGCGCTGCCAGGCGCTCGTCCAGCTGGGCATAGGTCTCGGGCCCATAGTGCAGGGAACAGGGCTCCTGGGCCTCGTGTACCACGTCCGCCAGGGCCAGGCCGTAGGCCGACAGGATCCCACTGTGCCTGCAAGGAGACCTCGGCGTGAGGGCAGCGCCCACCCCGCCCCTAGGCACCAGCTCTACCCTCAGGGCAACGCAGCAGGGGGGCACCTTGTCTAAGCCAGGCAGAGCGGCCCCAGGCCGATGAACCTACTACCCCGGGAAACATGGGCCCTGCTCCCAGAGCCCGGACCTGCTCCCCCCGGCCCCCCACTCCCAGTGCCCGGCCCTGCTCCCCCCAGCCCCCCACTCCCAGAGCCCGGCCCTGCTCTCCCCGGCCGCCCACTCCCAGAACCCAGCCCTGCTCCCCCCGGCCCCCCACTCCCAGTGCCCGGCCCTGCTCCCCCACTCCCAGTGCCCGGCCCTGCTCCCCCCGGCCCCCCACTCTCAGTGCACGGCCCTGCTCCCCCTGGCCCCCCACACCCAATACTCAGCCCTGCCCCCCACTCTCAGTGCCCGGCCCTGCTCTCCACAGTCCCCTCTGGGCCCACCACTCCCAGTCCCAGACCCCCACTCCCAGTGCCCGGCCCTGCTCCCCGTGGCCCCCCACTCATAGGAACGGCCATACTGGGTCAGCCCAAAGGTCCATCTAGCCCAGTATCCTGCCTGCCGACAGTGGCCGGTGCCAGGTGCCCCAGAGGGAGTGAACAGAACAGGGAATCATCAAGTGATCCATCCCGTCGTCCATTCCCAGCTTCTGGCAAACGGAGGCTAGGGACACCATCCCTGTCCATCCTGGCTAATAGTCATTGAAGGACCCCATCCTCCATGAATTTATCTAGTTCTTTTTTTAACCCTATTATAGTCTTGGCTTTTACAACATCCTCTGGCAAAGAGATCCACAGGTTGACTGGGCGTTGTGTGAAGAAATACTTCCTTTTTTTTTTCTTTTAAACCTGCTGCCTATTAATTAATTTGATGACCCCTAGTTCTTGTGTTATGAGAAGGAGTAAATAACTCTTCCTTATTTACTTTCTCCACACCAGTCATGATTTTATAGACCTCTAGCATATCCCCTCTTAGTCATCTCTTTCCCAAGCTGAAAAGTCCCAGTCTTATTAATTTCTCCTCATATGGAAGCTGTTCCATACCTCTAATCATTTTTGTTGCCCTTTTCTGAACCTTTTCCAAGTCCAATATATCTTTTTTGAGATGGAGCGACCAGATCTGCACACAGTATTCAAGATGTGGGCGTACCATGGATTTACATAGAGGCAATATGATATTTTCTGTCCTATTATCTATCCCAGGGGTCAGCAACCTTTCAGAAGTGGTGTGCCGAGTCTTCATTTATTCACTCTAATCTAAGGTTTTGTGTGCCAGTAATACATTTTAACGTTTTTAGAAGGTCTCTTTCTATAAGTCTATAATATATATAAATAATAATAAATAAATAAATTAATGGAGATATCCTATCTCCTAGAACTGGAAGGGACCTTGAAAGGTCATCGAGTCCAGCCCCCTGCCTTCACTAGCAGGACCAAGTACTGATTTTGCCCCAGTTCCTTAAGTGGACCCCTTAAGGATTGAACTCACAACCCTGGGTTTAGCTGGCCAATGCTCAAACCACTGAGCTATCCCTCCCCCCATATAACTAAACTATTGTTGTATGTAAAGTAAATATGTTTTTTTAAATGTTTAAGAAGCTTCATTTAAAATTAAATTAAAATGCAGAGCCCCCCGGACCAGTGGCCAGGACCCGGGCAGTGTGAGTGCCACTGAAAATCAGCTCGCGTGCCGCCTTCGGCACGTGTGCCATAGATTGCCTACCCCGATCTATCCCTTTCCTAAGGATTCCCAACATTCTGTTAGTTTTTTGACGCCGCTGCACATTGAGTGGATGTTTTCAGAGAACTATCCACACTGACTCCACTCTCAGCGCCCAGCCGTGCTCCCCCTGCTCCCCACGGCCCCCCACTCCCAGTGCCCAGCCCTGGTCCCACCAGCCCCCTCTGCTCCTGTGTCCACTCCCCCTGCTCCTACTGGCCGCCTCTGGACACCCCTCCCAGTGCCTGTCCCTGGTTCCTTCTGGGCCCCGTGTCCCACTGCCCAGTCCTGCTCCCCCCAGCCTCAGACACACATGCAGCAGCAGGGACACCAAAATCAACAAACTTTGACCCTACCAAAACGAGCCAGCAGAGCCCCCAACCCAGCCACAGGGCGCCCCAGAGAGCCACAGGGCTAGCATCCCCACCCCCGCCCTGCCGAGCCCTGTGGGGCTCTCTGTACCTGCCCTCCCTATGCAGACCCCCGGGGCCAGGGGGCAGAGACCTGGGAAGGGTCATCCCCCCCCCGTCCCCCGTCCCCTCTGTGCCCATGGGCTCTCTCAGCCCTGGCAGGCACATGCCCTCCCCCAGCTCCCCGGTACGTACCTGTGAATGAACACCCTCTTCATGCCTAGCGCACGGGCAATGGCGCAGGCGTGCTGCCCCCCTGCACCCCCAAAGCAGGCCAGTACGTGGTGCGAGGTGTCATGGCCTCTCGCCTGCCAGAACCAGAGGAAGCGTCACACACAGGGACAGCAAACAAAGCTGCCCCTCCCCCCCAATGAGAACCCCCCCAGACTCAGGGATCCAACCCCTCCCCCGAGGAACAGAGCCCCCCTGCCCCCAGCGAGACCCAGGGAACCAACCCCCCACCCCAGGAACTGAGTGCGAGCCCCAGGAACAAGTCCTGGGGAACCCTTCCCTCTCCTGCCAGTGTCACCAGCCTGGCCTGGCCTGGCCCCTCCCCGTAGGCTCGGCTCTGCGCCGGGGAGCGCTGGGTGCCCTGCGGCAGAGCCAGGAGCTGCCCAGGCATGGACCCCGGTTCTGCTCCCAGTGCAGGCAGGGGAGCAGGGGTGGGGGTCTCCTGGGCATTTGCCCAGGGGGTGGGGGGAGGATAGATGTCCTGCCAGCTCTGGGGAGAGGTGCGGGCAGGTGTCACCATCGTGGGGCTGATGGGCTGCAGCACTGTCCCGCCCCTACCTCGGTCAGGGAGCGGATGGGCCGGCACATGGCCTCGTTGGCCACCTGGATGAAGCCCATGGCCACCTCCTCCACGGTGAGAGGGGGACGGGGGCCTGGCGCCTGGCTGGCCAGGAAGGCGTTCACGCGGGCAGTGAGCTCCTGGAAGCCCTGCAGGGCGGCGTCCCGCGACAGCGGCTGGTCCTCACCCGGCCCGAAGATGTGGGGGAAGTAATGGGGCAGCAGGCGGCCCAGGCTCAGGTTGGCGTCGGTCACTGTCAGGGGGCCCCCTGCAAGGACAAGGGGTCAGTTGCTGCTGCTCGCCAGCCCACCCAGACGCCCCGGCACAGCAGAGCCCCGGCCTCACCTTTCCTGTAGCAGGCGGGGCCAGGATGGGCCCCCGCGGACTCGGGACCAACCACAAACAGCCCGGACCTGGTGGGGAGAGAAGGGAGACGCATTACTGCAGTGCGGCCCCGGGGCGGGCAGGGCAGCCCCACGCAGCGGCATCGCCCTGCAGTTTGGGGCAGGAAGTGAAGGAGAACCCTGTGCCCAGCTGAGGGCACATGGGCAAGAGGGAGGGAGGAAAAGGGAGACCTAGATCAGACCCAGGCAGGGACAGTGCAGCCCTGGCAAGTACCAGGAGATCTTCAATGAACACAAAGGGTCAGGAGCCCTGTTAGGTGCCCCTAGCGCCAGGCTGGGGCATGGGGACAGACCCGGGGGAGAACGCCCCCTACGAGCCCCCACCGGGCAGCACCGCGCCCCTAGCGCCAGGCTGGGGCATCGGGGACAGACCCGGGGGAGAACACCCCCTACTGAGCCCCCACCGGGCAGCATCGCGCCCCTAGCGCCAGGGTGGGGCATCGGGGACAGACCAGGGGGAGAACGCCCCCTACTGAGCCCCCACCGGGCAGCACCGCGCCCCTAACGCCAGGGTGGGGCATCGGGGACAGACCCAGGGGAGAACGCCCCCTACTGAGCCCCCACCGGGCAGCACCGCGCCCCTAGCGCCAGGCTGGGGCATCGGGGTCAGCGCTGACGCAGAGGAGAGCACCCCCTGTTGAGGGGAAATGGGATGCAACACTGCTCCCAGCAGTAGCCGAGCGTCTGTAGATCTTGGAGCTGCACTGACGCTGCTTAGCTGGTGGGGTGCCAACGTCACACCCCTAGCGTGGGGAGGGGAGAAGGAGCCAGGACAGGGCGGGAACCAGGAATGGCCGATGTCCAGGGGCCGGATGCTGAAGCTCAAAGCACAGCCCCTGGGGACAGGAATGTCAGAGCACTTGGGACAAGAACGGCCCATCCGGTCCCTTGAGCAGCAGGCGAAGCAGCCCCCAGAGCCAGCCCCACGGTGCCCATTTGGGTCCCAGCCCCAACCCCGCACTCGGTCGGGGGCCCTCTCCTGGCCCACAAGCAGGACTGGGGTTGCTAGGCCTGGACGGGTGTCACTGAGGAGTGTGGGAGGCTCACCCCCTTTGTAAGGGGAGTCAGGGCCCCACAGCAGCACCTGAGCCAGCCACGGTCCCTGAACCCCACCCCTGGGGGAAGGCTCCCCGGGAGCGGCGGGGCAGGGAAAGGGCTGCGCGGGGGCACGGCCGCAGGCAGGCACCCACCGGAAGAAGAGCACAGAGCCGCCGCCGGCCGCCACAGTGTTGATGTCCAACTGGGGGGCCTGGATGCGGATCCCGGCCGTGGTCGCCTCGAAGACGTGCTCGTACTCGCCGGCGTAGCGGCTGACATCCGTCGAGGTGCCTGCGGGGGTCACAGCTCAGCCGCTTGCCCCAGGCCCCAGCCTGGCTCAGAGCTAGCTCCATCCCCAGGGCCTGCAGCCTGCCCGGGGCAGGGCAACATCCCAGCCTCCCTGGCCGCCTCCCAGCACCGGGCCTCGCCTGCCCTAGGGGAGCCCATCTGGGGGAGCCAGGGTCCCCTGCCGCATGCAAAGGAGCTCAGACCCTCCCCACCCCAGTCACAGGGAGAGACCCCCCTGCAGGCAGCACCCACCTCCCATGTCAAAGCCGATCACAGGCTGCCCGTCCTCCTGGCTGTAGGTGGTGATCGCGTAGCCCACAACACCGCCGGCGGGGCCAGACAGAATGGCCCGGGAGCCACTGAACTGCCCCATGGGGGTCAGGCCCCCGTCGGAGCGCATGAAGAGCACCTGGGTGTCCTGCAGGGGGAGCCAGAGAGAGCAGGTGAGCTGGAGCCAGGTGGGATGAGGGGATGGGGCCCATGGACCGAGGGCAGGAGGCAGGAACCAGGGTCCCCACTGGGTGACAGGCAGTACCAGGGTGGGCTCACAAGGCCAGCAGAACCGGGACAGGCCCAGGGACAGAGGCTGGAGCCAGGTGAGTGGCTCTGGGATGTGCCCCAGGCAGGGAGAGGGGCCTGACATGGGGACACGGACCAGGCGCAGAAGAGGGGAGCAGATGAGTCCATGTGGAGGAGCCGGGAGTGGCCATGTGGGGAGGCGAGAAGAACCACATCTGCCTGGGTCGGTGGGGCAGCCCCGGGGGCTGTTCAGGGCGATGCCCGCCCAGCCGCTGGGGCAGTCAGGGCATGGCAGGCCCCTGGAGGCGATGTGCTGCCATGCTCACCTGGAGCTGCTGGGTGAAGCTGGCGCGGAAGCCATCGAGGTAGCGGCGGATGCAGGGGGTCAGGTAGGCGTCGGCACAGGCGGTGTACCCACGTGGCACCACCCGCACCATGGGCATCACCGAGGAGGACAGAGACACGTGCTGGAAGCCCAGTTCCCAGGCCAGTGCCCCCACCTGCTGTTCATGGGCTGGCCAGCTGCCAGGGAGAGAGAGCAGAGTCAGCGGTGCCCGTTTCCCCAGAGCAGGGCACCCCCGCCCCAAGCCAGACGGGAGACCTCCCTGGGGGGTGGGGACCAGCGCCAAGTCGGCTGAGCCCAGCACTCATCTCACCCCTGCCCGCGTCTGCCCCGTGCCCTTGGGGATGCCCCTCACGCCCCCCCCCCAGCACGTCACCGCACACCTGCTCCACTTGGGGCCATGTAGGCGACAGGGGGCCCACGCGGGACTCACGCGTAGGAGTGCAGGAGCACCACTGCCAGGCTCCGGATCCCCCGCGCCAGCAGCCGCTGCAGGTCTCTCCGCAGCACGGCCAGGTCCACGGGGCGCTGCACCACCAGCAAATCCCCCATCACGCCTGGGAAGAGGACGGAGCCACGGTAGAGGGGCCCACACATGCAAACCGCAGCCCCAATCCCCCCCTGGAGGCCATGGGGCAGAGGGACAGAGAGCAGGGCAATGTGGGGAGGGGAATGGCTGAGGGTGGGGGGGGAGAAGGGAGGGGTAATTGGCGCATTGGAGAGACACCAAAGGCACAGGGGCTGAACCCCCTCCATGGCACTGCCCTGGGTATGCACCGGAGGGGGGGGAGGGGGCAGGCTAGCAAGCCCTGACTGCCCCCTGCCTCTGCTGCTCTCCGCCCAGCTCCAAACACCAACCTGAAAGCGCCTGGCTGGGGTCAGCCCCGGGGAGCTGGCAGCCGGCGCGGTGCAGGATCAATCGCTCATCCACCTCGACCACCTCCTCATACAGCACCTCGGGCATTGCCACCGCCTGGGGAACCGACAGAGAGGGGCCCGGTCACTGCCAGGCTGGGGGGCTGGAGTGTGGAGACCAGCCCCAGGTCAGGGCCAGTCGCGCGCCCTGCCTGGTCTGGGGCAGACCCAGGGATTGGCTCTCGTCCCACCACGCTGGGGGGCAGGGGGCTCATCCTCCCCCTCCCTGTTGCAGTTCACTCCATCGCCCTGGTCTCCTGCTGCCACCCCCACCCTCCAAGCGCTTTCCTCGGGGACGGAAGGGAGCGTGCATTGGGGTCCCCACTCCCGGTGTGAGGCTGCTGCCCCGCCACGTCCTGCTGCACCCCCCTGACCCAGGTCTCTCTCCGCTGCTCCGGCTCCCCACAACTCCCGCCCCTGGTGAGGGGCTGAGTCCCAGGCCCTGCTCCCGCCAGGACCCTCTGACTCAGCCCGGACCCCTGGCGTGGGAGGCCCCGGTTCAGCCTTGGTAGCTTCATTTCCTCCCCCTTCCAGATGGTCCTGGAGGTGACTCCCCTGCTCCGGCTCCGGCTCCTTGCTGCACTCAGTCAGGTCCCCACCAGGACCGGCTGCGCAGGGCTCCAATCTCTCCCTCCCAGCACAGCGTCCCAGCGTTTAACCCCTCTCGCCCCAGAGAAGCTAAGGGGACGTCTACACAGCAAACCGCGGCACCAGCTCAGGCACGGGCCCACGCTACGGAGCTAACAATAGCAGTTCAGAC